ATATTTTACACTAGAAAGACAGAAGGGGAGAAGGTAGAGGAGTGAGATGTGCATCTAGTTGAACTGCTTGTACTGTTGATACCTCTGCTGGTACTGCTGCTGCTGGTACTGCTGGAAGGCGGGCTGCTTCTGCACCTGTTGTACGGGCTCGTCCTTGGGCAGGGGCGGCAGGGTCTTGATGGACTTGGCGATGTCGGCGGGGACCGCTGGCGGGTTGGGCAGGTGGGCGCCGGACGCGCGGAAGCCGAACTCGTCGGCGATGTAGTTGACGGTGTAGGTCTGGCCGTCGTCGCCGACGTACGAGTAGGAGCCGGTGACGGCGGGAACGTGGTGGGGCTCGTTCTTCTCGTCGATGATCTCCTTGATCTTTGCGTCCTCCTGGATGTTGATGCCGTGCTCAGTGCCGTAGCTGCAACAAGTGGCGAGAGAGAGAGATAGAGTCAGTCAGGTGCGGGTCTGAAAGTAAACAAGTGCTGCAGGCCAGAGCGGGTAGCGTACGCGGCGGGCCAGGTCTTGCGCCCCATCAGTTGCGTCACTCCCCGACTTTTTACTCGCCCCGCAGCCACAATATGAGGATGAGGGTGCCTGTCCCCGGCCCGGCCCGGTCCGACAGACAAGTTATGAGCGCGCCCGTTTTCTGTAGGTCAGTTGATCGTGCCAGTAAGGCTTCAACTCCTCTTCTTTTTTGATTTTTTATAATCCAAATCAATATACTAATCATCTGATGCCGGCTGGCAACATACGCAGAACGGTGACGCATCTCCGTTTCCCGGAGGAGCAGGCTGTCCTCGAGCTGCCGGGCCGGGCCGGTGCGTCGCGGCAGGGAAGGGCAGGGCGCGGGAGGGCAGGGCAGGGCGCAACAGGGTACGGCAGACAGGGCAGGGCAGACAGGGCAGGGCAGGGCAGACATGGCACGGCAGGGCAGACAGGGCGCGGCAGGGCACGGCGCGGCACAGAACGGCTTAGCGCTTCGCAATCCAGACTGAGATCAGGACGCTTCCTCTCACTCTCGCTGCTAGCGCGCCCCCCCCGCGTCGACCCCAAAAAGGGAAAGACGGCGTCGTTGGGGCGGGCGGGCGGACGAGCGGGCGGGTTTTCGAACAATCCTGCGTGAAGTTTGCTGACGGTGGCAAGGGAGCCCCTTCGCCCACGTATCGTTGCCCAACCGCGGTGGGCTTAACGACGAGGCAGGAGTGGCGGAGCTTGGCGGGGGCAGGGCTGGGCGGGGCCGGGACAGCTCACCTGTACTTGTAGTCGCCGGCAGGCTGCACGTCGCGCGAGAAGCTGGTGATGGCAATGGGAGGCAGGACGGGCTTCTTGGCCTGCACGTACTGGCTCAGCGAGGACTGCAAGAGATGCGGCGTATCAGTTGTCGTTACATTGTCCAGCTCCGGACAGAATTTAGAATTTTTATTGGCGGGGCGGTGGGGTGGTCGTACCTTCTGTTCGGGACTGCTCTGCTCCACGTACTGTTGTGAGGAGGTGGACTGCTTGTAGGCCTGCTGGCCCTGGTAGTTGTTGAACTGCGGGGCGGCGGAGGCCACGGCCAAAACGGCGGCTAATAAAACCTGACGACACCGAGAAAGGATGTGTTTCGGATTACTAGAGACATACAGCTTCAACACACTGAGTGCGTTCAAGTTTCCCGATTAGTTTCGTGGATCGGCCCGGGCCTGGGCCGAGGGGGCCTTGGAGAGAGAGATGGCAGTGTGCCACTCGGGTGGCGGCGCGGCGCCTCCTGGCCGCCAAACGGCGGCAGCGGCTCAAATTGATCGCCTCGGCGGCAGATGAGCAGAACCCGTCTCACCGGCCGGCGATATAAACATCATCACCCCGACACGACTTCCGGGCGCCCGCGACGCGGCGGGGCGACACACAGAAAATGGTCACATTGAATTAACGGAGAATCCCTCAGATCAATGGACATTTAACCAATGGAAAATATGATAGAATTTCCCTGCAACTTGAAGCGATTTTTCCATCACCCTATGGGAATTTTTCCCTTCTGTCAATGAAATTCCACTGAGTCAAGAGAAAAATTCTATCATATTTTCTTTCCACTATTGAATCAACGGAGCCGCGGAGCCGTTTTCTGGGTGACCGTCCTGCTCCTGTCTGGCGGGGTCGCAGTGTGTCATTCCAAATGAGAGTCGCTCACTCATCGGGCGGACGCCTCCTCTTTTACTGAAGCTCGTCAAATCGGCCGCTCTTGAACGATATTCGACGTCGGATGCACACGCGTGAATCCTGAGGTATGGGAGCCGAGTGTGGTACTCACGAGGGACTTCATGGTGTTGCAGATGCTGCTGCTGTCGCTGCCAGGAGGCGAGTGCCCGGCTCCGCCTCCCGCCCGCTTATATACGAACACCGATGCGCTCGCCCGGCCGGCCCCGCGGGGGCCCCGGCCGGGGCGGGCCGGGCGGCCTCCACCGCGCTCCCCCACGGTCCCCGCACTGCTTTGGTCCCCCGCGAGGAGCCGGATCCTTATACCTCCTTAGTGTTTCGCCGAAAATAACGACATTTACCGAGGCAGAGGAGCAGCGGGGAGCTCCCGCACCGGCCAGCTGCCGCCTGGCCAACGCTCGCGGCGACCTATCCAGCGCACCACACGGCCGCTTTGGCATCAGCTGATCTGGTCGGCGTTATTCGCGAGGTGTGATTGGCGAGCCACTTGGCCGGCAGAGTCAAGCCCCTTGAGGAGCCAAACCCGCCCGCAAAAGTGCACCCGAAAAATACGAAAAAGGCATCCACGGTGGCCTGCAGCCAAAAATTGTCGTTATGATAGCACCTTTGAGTTGTGGGAATCCGCGAGTGAGCTGTTAGCTAACGACATTCTTTTTGAAAATAATTTTTCTTCCCGCGTACACTGCGAGGGACGACGCCGACGCCGAGTCGAGCAGATTTCTCCGCTAAAGGGGCTGCGGTAATGACAGCAGCGTGGAAATGAGTTTGGGATCAAAAGGCGGGGTGTGCGTGTGAGTCCATAGCTCGGTGCAGCGGGGTGGGGAGAGTTGGGGCGGGGCGCGGTGGGGCGGGGTGGCGTCCGAGACCCAGACCGTGTTACTGAACTGGCCGGCCGGCGCTGGCGGGCTGTGGCGGGGGGAGCAACAACCTCGCTCGCGCCCGCGGTCCCGCGAGGCGCCGGGGGGCAGAAGTTGGGCGTCTTGTCGTCCTGCCGCCCGACGATGCGCCGCCGCCGCCCCGCTCTTTGCTCCTCTTACTGCCCTAGTAACACAAAACTGTCGCACATAGTGTTATTTTTATCTATCGTCGTATTATTATGACGATAACGAAAATCCAAAAGTGATGGCTTTTCCATAGTCAGACGATTGTCGCTGGTCTATCAAATTTAAACCATCTACCATTTTGTTGTACTTTTATCGATTCCTGATCGAATCCACAACAGTGGCATTTTGCTTCCATTACGATAGCTGGCCGATAAAGAATTTCGTTTCGAGGAAAAAAGATAGTATACCGATAGAATCATTTTTCTCATTTCGTATATCGCACCGATAGTCCGTATCTTTTTTCTACTGTTGTCCGACAGTCGTACGACAATTCTGTGCTACTAGGGTGGGCGAGGTGTGGGAGTACACGCCCCGGCCGGAGCGGCGGCGTTAAGAGTTCAGGACGCCCAGGGCTTTACGTCACCGGCCGGACAGTTCGGGCCGCAGACTCCATCCAGGGCCGGGTCGGTAGGGGAAGGGACGGGTTAGCCCGTTCTGTCGCGCCCAGCGCCCAGGCCGTTGGCGAAATGAAATCGAACGTGTCAACACGCATAGAGGCCACGGAGGTGTGAGGAGTGAGTGGGCGACCTCTGACCCTCACCGAGAGGGATCCGCGCGGATGAGCCAACGGTGCTTCATTGGCGAGGGGGGTCATGAGCTCCACACCCACGTGCCAAATGACTCGCAGCGCCACGCCCCTCCGAAAGACAAGTTGCGCACAATGGAGGGGGGAGAGGCGGGGCACTGATGGCCCATCCACGAGCACGTGTTTAAATCTTCCTTGAAAATAATAAGAAAAAAAGGGGAAGGGAATATGTAAAAGGGATGCAAAAATTTTCAAAAAGGGTATTTTTTTTAGCGAAGGTTTCAATTCTTTCCCCTGCCTTGAATTTGCAAATGTAACTAATTTAAGGAGATCACTCGCGTTAGTAGTACATGCAGCAAGACGTCTGTAAGTTTTACAGGGGCAAAGGGCGTACGAATCGGATGGTCGGACGGAGCCTCTACTCCGGCGGGCGGCGCGGCCACGGCCCTCCGCCCTCCGCCTGTCGTCCTTGAGCCTGCGAGCCTGGAGCGGGGAGCTGGGGCAGGGCGGCAGGGGGACAACGAGCTGTCAGGTCCCGTCACGCACGGACACATGCGGTGTGCTCTTCCCCTTGACGTAAACGCCTTGCGTAGTCTCCCTTCTTAAAATCCACAAAAAAAAGTAAGCGCGCCTGTTGAGCTGTGATGAGTGGCCGC